GTCACTCACTAATCTTTTCACATATAAAGGTGAGATGACAAACTACAATCTTCGGGATATTTCGAGTAGTCTTTGCTTACCTAAACCGCGTACAAATAGCATGAAAAAGAGTTTCATGTATGACGGAGCCTACCTTTGGAATTCTATTCTGAAGGAAATTAGAGAAAGCAAATCCTTTGCCTCTTTTAGGAATAAAATTGCTACTCACATTAATAGTAATTGTAATCCCCGCAGACTAACTTACTAAGTACCGGTACTATACTTTACCTATTTAATACTATTTCTATTATTTTGTAAATAATTATTCTAAATTTTATACTTCTGTAATTTCTTCTATACACGCCCCCTGTGGAAATCAGCTTCGGTTGACGGGGTTAGCGTGGTTAAATGAAGTTTTCTATCTATCTATCTATCTACCGCGAAGATTTTGAGCATATTTATGATTGAATTGGATGAAAACTCGCAAAATTATCCAGCGATAAAAGTTCGTGTATAGTACTGATATAGTACTATATATGTAACTTGTACAGTTTTGCTTTAATTTTTGCTCACTATTTGCATAGAAAGCAAATTATAACAGACCATAGATGATAGACCCTTATCCAGTGCTCTCATCAGTTTACTTCTCTAACAAGCAAGGAGGGGGGGGGGGTACATAACAGTTCATTTTTCATAATTATGAGGACAGAGCAGATGATGATGAAAGATGCAAGTATAAAACAATTATTAAAACATTTCAATTAAGGTTGTCCACGAGCAAAGCGGAAAGTCGAATACGAGCGCGAAAGGCTGCTGGGAATCGCTTTGAAAATTCATTAATTTGTTAACGATTCCCAGCAGCCTTTCGCGCTCGTATTCGACTTTTCCGCTTTGCTCGTGCACAACCTTAATTTAAATAGCTGTATATATCACCCGTACCCGTAAACTGGAACAGGGGTATCTTAACCTCTCTAATGCTCGCTCCGCCCGTGCGGGCACCGACTGCAATGGAAAATTGCCTTAAAGCCTCATCCAGATTAAATTTCTTTAATTATTTCTGACGTTTCGGCTACCTACACGGCGGCCATTATCAAATAATAGAACGAATTAAGTCGTGCTATATTAATGCCATAATCATACTCGTGATTAACAAATCAACCTCCCGCTACGCGCTAGTAGCTACGCTACTCTGTTATAGTCAAACCGGACCTGCAGAGAGGTTACTGTTATTTATTTAATTATTTAATAAGACAACTATTAAATGGTACTGTAAAATTTTTTGTAACTGTAATACGTCTTTGATAATGGCCGCCGTGTAGGTAGCCGAAACGTCAGAAATAATTAAAGAAATTTAATCTGGATGATCGTACAATAAACTAAAATAATGGAAAAACCCGGATTCAAGCCCTTCAGTGTATAACAGAGTAGTTAGTTTAAAATTAATTAATATGTTCAAACGTTTTGGTATTTGAAGGTAATGGTATCTCCATTTGTCGGTGTTAACACATCAACTCCAACATTGGAAAGTTGACCATTCTTGTAAATGAGCCAATAAAAGTCAGCTGATGGATCTTGCTCGAGACAGCATATACTTGTAATGAAGCGACCAATACTGAATGTTTGAAATTGGAATCTGTAACACGGGTTTTGTTGGGAAGCCATCTCGAGTATTTCAAAAGCTTTTGTCCCCTGGGACACACTGAGGGTCACTGCAGGTATGAAATTCGCATTGGTGTAATTGGTGAAGACGAGTTCGACAGATACTGAGATTGTCTGAAAATAAACAAGTTAATGGAGATGAGTTTTACAAATCTGCGAAAACGTAATAAGAATCACCAAGGTCGAGGTAAAGGCCCACACAGACCGCCCGCGATTTAGTAACACGACGCGAATTTTCAGTTTTCAAAAACAAATAAAACCGTCAACGGATAAAAATTTTACAAGATATGCAGACCAAATAGCTAAAATTGCTTAAGTGGTTCCGAATATTTGAAAAACATTGAAAAATATTAAAGTTTTATGTCATTGAAAATTGAAAATTCGCGTCGCGTTGCCAAATCGCGTCCGGTCTGTATGGACCTTAAGTGTTATTGGAAGTCGAGCTGAAGGCGAGATTGATAACACTTCCCAAGATCTTGATAATTTGGGATATCACAAAAAAACCAATTCAGTAACTGTTTTATTACACATTGTATTTTCATTAGATTTAGAAAAGACGACGCGAGCACAACGCGGATGTCGTCATTTGGCGCCAACTATCGTCAGCTTCTGGTTTGCGACGGTCGTCTTGGACGATTTCACGACGTGAAAAAACTAATCGTAAATAGTATTGAATTTTACCAATCAACATGCACTAATATGATTGACAAATAATGATTTACCACACAAACAACGTTTGCTTCTCAAAAAAGCAGTGAAAACGATTTAAAATATCACTGCCAGTAACAGCATAAAAATATTAGAAAACTCATTTGCCAAATAAAGTTTTAGCTCAATGCTTAAATAAATAAAAAAAAACTCCAGTGCATGTTGCAAACATAGATGTGAGATCAGTTTACGTTAGTCCAAGCATGCTAAAAAAATATTGTTTCCGACAAATATTGCTAAAACGGCACCATGAAAAGCCTTTATTTTTATACAATAGATGCTTTTCTACTCAACAAACAATAAAAAGGTAAACTGATTAAAACTGTTATTTATTTTCCTGATCGTTTTAGCTTAATAACATACTTCAACGACAACGTTAATAACAACTTGCCGAAAACATTTTGTTCATAACAAGATATATAAAAAATAGGTACGCTGTAGCGTACATGGCATAAGAATGCTTAATGATGAATTCTAAAACCATTTATCGTAAACAGTTCGGAAACTTTTGTAGATGCGCGGGCTTTAACCTAACCAAAGAGCCTGTTCGCAGGAGAAGTGAACCGTCCACTGCATACATAAAAATATTACTTCGGTGGCGCAGTCGTCAGATGCAAGCGCCTTTCGCCTCTCAGAAAGTGGGTTGGATTCTCGCTATGACAAATGTGAAAAGAGTCAGCCAACGCTCTTCCGAAAGTCGTGGGTTTTCTCCGGGCGCTCCGGTTTCCTCCCACAGGGAAAGCTTTTTGTTTGTTTCTTGGTATGGTGGGTTAGGATAAACACAGTTAAGAAACTAACATCACAATGGTTGTAAAGATATTTTAGTCTAGGTTAAGTAGGTAATACAAGTAAACGTAGTAATTGATGTAATCCATCACTGAAAAGACCCATTGGGGAGTGAGCTGAATAATATATGTATATACAGTATATGTATGACTGACATAAGTCTATAGAAAGCATGTTTAATTTCAATTGCAGTTTTAAGGAATGTTTTAATTTTTTTCGAAATATATGCTGAGCTTTTGAAACTAAACATTTAGCACTTATTTTCAATACTTATAAATGTTAACTTTCGCATTTATGTCGGGAAAAAGCGGGCTGGACACTTAGCTTAAATCATTGAAATCAGTTCAGCCTATTTTCTATCTGTAGTAGCGATAGGGAGGGTTTTACAATTTCTTAGATATTTTTTTCAATATGAAAATTGTCTTCACTCCTCGCTTGTTTTGGCGCGAAACGCGAGAGGTACGTAACGTGTGAGAGCTTTCGTCAACCAATCAGAAGGCTCCATTTACTTTATGGACCTGGGGTTACGGACTGGAAAAATAGATTATAATTTTTTCGTTCAATTACATCAAATTACCTGGAGTTAATAAATTCCATACATGGAATTGACTTTATTTATGCACACATATTTGTAAAAACAAGTTTATTAACTTTTTGTTTAAGTTATTAGTAATGTTGTCGCTGTATTATTCTCGCTGCATTACTTATCGTTTATTGTCAATTTTTTTATACAGAATAGTTTTGTTCGATATAATAAAACTCTTATTGGATTCATCTTCACCCAATATATGGCAAAATATTAAGTCTCGACTATATATTTTGTCAGAAAAAAATACATTTTATAATTATTGTTGAATATTAAATGTACTGTATTTGTGACCAGGTTTAAGTCTGGAAAGAAAACGCAGCAAGAAAGGAACAAAAAGTATGAGAATTATAACTGGCTTGCCCTGTTTAACGATGGTCTTTTAAAGTTTGAACGTTTCAGAACTTATCACACTACAGAATGATGTGTTCTTTGAAACTGAAACAAGCAGAGAAAATCAGGACATATTCACTCAAGGACATATTGCGAGCCATTTAAATGTCTCTGAAGACGACGTATTGGTGGAAGAAAACAGTGATGACTGGTCCGTATAATAACAATTAATGTTTATCCGTTAACAGCTATAACGAATCGAATAAGTTTTATATATACTCACCGAAACAGCTACCGTTCCATAATTCGCGAAAAGGTTTGAATATAAATAAAAAAATAAAAATTGTTGTGATACTATAACTGTTCGGATTAAATAGTGGGCACAAATTTCATTCGTCAGCTGAGATCAAAAATGGGGTCGGGAATCACAACTGCTAAAACCTGTTGTATTATTAATGCATTTATGCGAAATCCCCAGCGGCGTAACTCCTTTGGGCCCCGCCAGGCAAAGCCAGGAGACCAAATCAATACGTGGATTCAAGGTTTTCGACGCCGTAATAAAACACAATATAGTGCAAGGGGTGCAAACACAATAGAATTCCCTATAGGTAAATTTGCAGGGGGTGCAAACACAATAGTGAAAACAATAATGACAAAATGGCGAAGTTGATGTATTTCAGATCTTTTTGTCGTAGCATATACATATATATATATATATATATACATATATATACATATATATATACATATATATATATATACATATATATACATACATATATATATATACATATATATACATACATATATATACATATATATATATATATATATATATATATATATATATATATATATATATATATATATATAT